TATTCAGTACCACATTAGCAGCATGGTCCAATAGAATAAATGGAAATTGCAATGTAATGGTAATACAAAACTATTTTTTCTTGTCATAGTTTCTTATGTAAACTCCTTCTGCGACCACCAAAATGATACATATCGCTCAGCCCAGACTTTGGTAATAGGTACACTTTGTTTCAGATAATTCTGTTCCTTTATCACATCGCACCATTTTTTCCTGATCTATTCTCTCCTTTTTTCATGTAATTAACCATTTGAAATCATGGGGGCTGGTGGCTGGAAATGTGTGACAGCTAGATACAATTGTTTTGTTTTTCTGCCTCACCTGTACATTTATATTTTTCTAGAGTGTGCCAACATTTTTTCTTTGCAGCACTTTGTATGCATTTTTTTTCTATTTGTCCAGCAAGTTTGTGTCCAGCTTGCAAATTTGTTTGAAATATCTTACCCCCCCCCCCCCATGATTGCAAATGGTCGACCCATAAGAACGAAGATTTGCACCTACACCCAACTGCTAGAAAAACTTACCAAATCCTAATATAGATCCCAAATACAGGACAAATCCATATATCGCCCGTTCTGGGGTTGGCGAAGGGTTACTCATCTTGTCATTTTAGTCATCCAACTTCAAAACACGATACCAATAAAAGCAGCCGTAGTAAGTCCCGAAGATGTTCGTTTGTTATCGCTTTCCTCCTACAATAAAAACAGCTCAACGGTTATCTATTACGTAATCAATCCGAATAGCTTTGGACGAAACCTTTCGGTTGATGAAGAGGAATGAAAAATATACATGGTAGTTTGGTGACGAAGTGCAAACTTCTAGCGGGCAACAGGTCTAAAGTACATCGGATATTTTCGGTATTTTTCGTAGTTCACCGAGGTGGCAACAAATCAAGATGGCTGACAGTTCCAAGCAGTGGGTGCAGTTCCTAAACCGAAATAGTTCACTACCTTTACCTGGGGAAAGAAATGAGGAAACGCAAGATGCACAATCTGTCGGTTATTCCCTAAGTCTGCAGGCTATAGAAGGCATTAACGAACCAGTAAGTAATGTCTGAACGGCTTTTCTGTTCATTGTTTACATTGGTCGTGAGGGGACGCTCGGTGGAGAGAGTCGCTTCGAGAGGTGATCGTTGCGGTATTTAAAGTCACTAGGATATAGCTACGTTTGCGACTAATACTAAAAGTAAGCTTTGAGATATTTTACTAAATATGTATTAAAAGCTAACTGATGCTGTGTACGGTATAACAATTTTGTTGTTTACGTAATTCGTTATCATCTGCAACGAACCGTTAAATGACTCAGTAACGGGACTGACATTCCTGAATAATTATACATTTGCGTGTACAAACGTATTTTTGCATCGCGATTTGTGATACAAGTAGAAATGTATCACGCGTTTAATTCAACGTAAATGGAAACTTTAAATACTGATAATAGTGGATTAAAAGTGAATATGACAAAAAATTTCACTATCGGTGGTTGAGCGGAAATGTTACCCGGAATGTTAATGCGCCCTCTATGGCTTCCCGCATTCATTTTCAGTGCTGTTTCTTTTTATCCGTAGTTGTTTCTTTATTGTGCTCTGATCACACTCTGCCATATAGTTTTATATAAATAAACTATATGTATGTTATTAATATTATTCGCTGATGTTAGAATCTTACTTTTACATCAAATGTGTATATCATTTTATTAAGGTAGGAAATAGCCAAAAAATAGTTGATCCCACAGTGTTTTCCATTCTGTGTGTCTCTGTTGAGTAATTTAGGGGGAAAAATGATGGTTGTCTTGAGGAACAGTGCATATTACACAGCTTTTCAGCAATTACATGTGTGTGATCACAAAGTTTTTTTTTATTTGTGATCTTAGATATGTATATATACAACTGTATATACATGTCTGAAAAACTCATTCAATTTAACCCAGCTGGTTGTATATTAGCTTTTAAAATCAGAGTTGTATTTGTTATTCTCATATTACAGTCTGTCATGTAGTAACATGACTGTTAAAGCAAGATTTTCACTTACAATATTACAATATTAGTTACAAAGGTATACAATTGAGAATAAACTTTATCTGTTGGTGCATGCTGATCAACAAATCAGTCATGGTGTGAATGGATACTACACAACGTAATGTTTGTCATTGATTATCAGGGATTTATCATTGATTGGTGTCAATGACAGAAAATAAGTTGTGCCAGGAGTTGGATTTGTAGACATGGTGAATAGAGAAACTTGCATAACTTGTTCAGTGGCTGCTTTTTGTATTGTTATTTTAAAAAAAAAAAGGAGTTGTTTGTGGTGCAGGGAAGATTGAATGGTGTATATTTCTTTTTTTTTTCACCTAAATATGGTTGAAAAGAAACAATTTCATCTCAAAAATGTAAAATAAGGAAAAGAACACACCACAGCATTAACATTTCAGGATTAGAGACAGCAACAAATTACATTAGTTGAAATCGTTCTACATTCCTGTTCATGCTAAAAACTATATTTTGCAAAAAAAATGTGAAAAGCCATGTGAATTGTTTCATATGAAATATTTATAGATGTTTTATAAATTTCAAATGATGGTTGAAAACAGCTAGACCAAAATGTGTTTAGAAATGCATGGAAGTAAATTGGTCAATGACTTAAGGAAACTCGCAAAGATTCAAGGATAATAGGTATTACCAAATGGCTTTGGTAGCCAATGGATCTTCTTTTAAATGAAGTGTAACGTTCTTACAAGATAAAAGTTTTATAAATTTACAGTAAAAATGTATAATAATAAAGTTATTGGACATTAAATACATCTAGAATAAAAAATTTATAAAAACCCAGAGAAGTTATTTTAGCATGTATTTTGCTAAACAATAGCATGGTACAAATGAACTGTAGAGGGCGTAAGTCTCCATTACTGAGGATTTCAATTTGTTTGAGGAATCTTTCTACATTAAAAAACATTGAAACCATGAAATATTATTTGCATTCATGATTCTAGATTGTCACGTTGATGAAAGTCATCAGATTTATTTATTTCACTGTTTGATCTGTATTAATATCATGCATTATGAGAACTTAGTTTAATAATTGACATGATGCCTGGCAGTGTTATGACAGGGTGTCTGAATTGTAAATAAATCAGCATATAATTATAATTAGATTCACATAGCATTTTAACTAAATTAGCATATCATTAAAGATAAAAAATTTCAAGCATAGCAGTTAACTAAGCAACAGGTAATTTATAGATTAACATAATGCATACTGTAAAACACGTTGAAATAGCTACATGCAATTTTAGCGGACTTGATTCCTGGCACGAATTAACAGAATCTTAATTTAAGTAAAGTGTCGACTATCTCACTGTGAGAATATACTTTCTGTTAAATTAGCAAAATTAGCTAAAATAGCTAAAAAGACATGTTTTACAGTATGTGGGCTTATTTGGGAGATGCAGTGAATGCAATCAACACAAACAAGTGCTGAATTTGTTTATGAAATGAGAGAATATTTGCAATGTGGATTATTGCAATTGGTGATGACCGATATGATACAGACGTTTGATTCAATAGAACTAAGCAAAATGTAATGCAAAGCTATATTTAAAAGACTGCCTGATTGCTACCTAACCCTAACACCTAACAGTCACACCAATCAGAGAGCACCTTATTTGTTGACAGGTTTTTTCAAGATACTGAACAATACTCTATTTTCGCTTGGAATTAATTTTGGCTATTTTTGCTGAAGATATGATGTGGCCAAATGTAATTTTGTTTTAATTGTTACCTAATTGAAAAAACATTTGTAGACCAAACAAGCAGAGATGAGAACTAAAAAATGATTTTAACCCGGTCTAAAATATCATAGCCTAGGTAATAATAATAATATCCAGACAATAATATTGAGTGTTGTGACAGGCACAGATTATCCAGTACGTCACATGAAAAGCTGCTCAAGTAATAATTTGTTTTTTGCAAATAGTGGTACAAGAAAGTGTTATTTGTAACAGTTAATCGGAAAAGTCATAATAATACATGTTATTGTTTGTGTCTGCAGCCCAGTCGCGTTTGAGACAAACTTTGAACCTTATTAATGCTAATAGCAGATACAGTTTCCTGACTCAAGTGTTTCCAATCATTAACAATCATTTCCTCTGACTGTGAGGAATGTAGCTCTTTGAATGATAGCTTTATCTATCTGCAGTTTCAGACTGTCACCTTGTGTAGTTTTATGACATGACAGAACAAATGTTTAATACCTTATCTAGAGAAACGAAACAATGGTATTCTGGTTAATATGATCATGTTCATGGATAACTTTGTAGGTTTGAATTAAATTGGCACGCTTACAGCGATAATGCAGAATTGACGGTTTCAGCTTTATCAGTAATACAGTACTGTAAAATACTTTATTTTATCTGGAATTAATTTTCGCTGAATATACTTTTTGAGTGTTTTGTATGGAATTTATTTTCACCGATTTTTGTCGAGTTGAATGTAAAATATAGGAAAAAAAGGTATATTCAATGGATTTTATATTTTCACTGAATCATAGCGAAAAATTAATTCCAAGCAAAAATAAAGTATTCCACAGTATATGAATTATGATGAATAATATCAATATTGCTATTATGTACAGTATATGTAATGTATAATTGATTATGTTCACAATCAGATAAATAATCAAAAATATGAACAGTTGTCTTCAAAATATGCATTGTTTGGCTGTTGTGGTGTGGAATATTAGTTTTTACCTGGTATGTATTTTTGGTTAATTTACTGTAAAATGACTAATTTTCACTGATTTACCATTTCAGGCATATTCAGTGGGTTTTGAATTCACGATTTTGTCATTTAGATAATGTGTTCTATGCTAAATTTTACGTATTCACTGGGTTTAAATTTAGTACATTTTCCAGTCAGTGAAATAAGCAAAATTAAAACCCAGTGATTAATTAATTCGTTTACAGTATCTGCTCTACATTTTCACTACCTCATGAGATGGAGCTTATTAAGCAAAGTCTTTTACTTGACCTATGTCCTGGTACTGCCAATAGTGTAATGAGAATTGGTAATAATTTAACATGCTCTATAGTATATTTCATCATTTGTCTCAATGGAAAAAAGGATTAGCATATAAAAACAGAAGTCTATACACATTCTGAAATCTTATTGGCGTAAATAATAATGTCTTTAGTTTATACATTTTTCTGATAGTGCAATGAGAATTGGTCGTATTTTATCATGTTCTACAGTAGATTTCATCGTTTGTCTCAGTGAAAAAAATTATTAGTCTATACACATTCTGAAAACTTACCATTATTGGTGTAAATAGTAATGTCTTTAGTTTATGCATTTTCTATGTCTATCAAATATATATGTATATATGAAACTTTTACAAGCTGGTGCAAATTTAATTTATTCCATTTTATGATGACCTCCTAATATCAAATGTTGACCCTGTTGAGGAGGCTTATCGGCAAGTATGGTTTAAACTACAGTTCTATTGTGCTTTGTAACATATCTCTCCAGTCCTTGAGGCAGAACTCATGGACAGTTCAATTGTTAATTTTTGGCTACGTTTGTTCAGCTATGTATGTCATTCCAACAAATTTTTCTTGTTGAATTCTTTAAATCCAAAAGCATTCACTATTTACCCCAGTAAAATGTTCAACTGCTGTAACATACTCAGATTTGTTTGAGTCACGACATTTTTTATAATTCTTTTTTTTCTTTTCAACATCAAAGCTGTTTAGCATTTGCTGATTTAAATTAATTTCACAATTGTATAGTAGATGGAATCTTTTGGTTATTATTAAAGGCACATTTTGAAAACACAGTTTTTGCAGAACCCTCCTTTCCCCACACACCTCTCTGTCCCTCAAAACTAGATTTATGTGTAATGTACAATATATATATA